GCTATTGCATAGCCATGTGCGGCGCCCCTCCACCGTTTACACACTCGGTCATATTTTCATAGTGCTTAGGCGAAGCCCTGCGGAGATCACTTCACCATCACCGTCACCACGTCGTCGTGATGACGGAACTCATCTACTACCGCGACGTTTTGCTGGGTCAAGAAGGCGAGGGATGTCATCGAGCTGAACGTGTGCAGAACGATAAGGTGTTGTGCGTTCGGTTCTTCATCGTTTGGAGCGCGAAGAAGTTCGACTACATCAACCGCATTGTAAAACGCTTTCGCTTATGGTCTACGAGGGTACGTAGACCCCCCCCCCCCCGCGTTGCTATGCATCTCCATGGATAGATCATTGCGTGTGCGTAGAATTTTTTTTGTTTTCCATACAAAGATTCCCAACAGATAACTCCAAAGGTAAGGTACTTGGCCTTGGTAAGGTGGTCATATCCAATGATAGCTCCATTCAAAATGTTATGCTCATTAAATCTCATAGTTATAATTTTCTTTCTATATCTAGACTAGCCGACTTTGGTTTCAATGTTCTATTTACCGAAGTTGATTGCCAAATGTTTCGTCGAGACAATCATAATATGGTCTGGCCCACACAATGGTTCATGCGTGCGTCGCTCGGCTATTTGATGCAAAACACGTCAAATAGGAGCTCCCGTTATGAGTTAGCTTTTCTTTAAACCTATTTTTCCGAATTTTTTAATAGTGGTCTTAAGCTCTTTTGTTCCTATTTATTTCCTTTTTCAGTTTCTGATTTTATTTTCATGTTTCTTATTTTTGTTATTTTTTTCATGTCTCCTTATTTTATTTTGATAAAGATCCAAATATTTTAAAATGTGTGAACACTTTCTGAATGACATGTATGGATTTTTTTTTCAGAATTTAAAATTACACATTTGTTTGTTTTAATTTTTACATTCCATCGTTGCGCCAGAGTACCGAGGCGCGCTTGCTACAAGGACCACAAATGGGCTGGCCCAGTATGGGGTCCGTCTGAGCATTGCGATGCTAACTTTTTTCAAAATAGTTTTTCCCGGTATTTACTCATTCATTTTTATTTAGTCCGCATATTAGCTTTGGTCAAAGTCAAGCTTTGTAAATTTTGACCAAGTTATAAACAAAAATATTAAGATATACAATAACAAATCAATACCATTAGATTTATTACTGAATGCACTTTAACATCATATATATATTTGTTATGATAAATATTTATATTGTTTTTTATAAACTTAGTCAAACTTTACAAAGTTTGACTTCAGTCAACTCTAATACGCAGAGTAAATAAAAACGGAGGGAATACAATGATCTTCGCGTCATTTTTTTCTTCTTTGTTATATTTTCTTTCTATTTTTGTATTTCTACTTTGATTTTTTCATGTTTCTCATTTCTGTTACTTTTGTCAGGTTTCTTTAATATATTTTGGACAAATATGCAAATATTTTTGAAATGTGTGAACACATTTTAAATGACATTTATGATTCTTCCAAATTTTAAAATTACACAAAGTTTTTAAAAAGCATAAACACTTCTTAGATTTAGAAAATATTTCCTATAAATGTGCCGACACTTCCCTATAAACGCAGGTGGTTTGGCTCGAATCAGGAGACCACCTATTCGACACTCACCAAATAGTAGAGGAAACATCTTTTTTTTTAGGGGTAGTAGAGGAAAGGCCTGAACCACGTTATATCACATGGGCCGGTCATGGCGCGATCCATTGAGATGCTTAGTTTCCTGGAAAATATACTTAGATTGACAGGTCCAAAAAATATAGTACAAATAGAAAAATATACAGAAAACTAAACCAATATTCACCTACATACATATGAATGTTCATACCTGTGAAAAAGAAATGTTCACCATGTATTTGACATGTATATATAAAATTATATTAGTGCATTGAAAAATTCATGTGCTTTAGAAAAAAGGTTCGTAGATTATAAAAGTTGTTCATACAACGCGGAAAAAAATATTGAAAAGGAAGAGAATTTTTTTTAGAAAATGTCTTAACATAAAATGGGAGGGAAAATTAAAAAGAATTGAAAAGTAAATGAAAACCCATAGTGCTCGGCCCAGGACACACACATTCCACGTGTTTGTCCAATATTTTGACACCTTGAGCGTAAAATAGGAATCACCTTGAGCGTCGAAATCACTAGTTAAGGGGTACCCCTTACAAAACTCACTCTCACTTTCTCTATGCTGACAAGTGGTGCACTGCATGTGTGCCACTAGTCGCAACTTGTTTTTTTTCTTTTCTTGTATATTCATTTTAATTATTTTTTAATCATGCGTGCAAATCACAATCTGTTTTCACCCTTGAATTTCTTGCAGTGAGATATTCGAAGATAGATCCCATGTTAATAGGTTTCAACAAAAAATCATGAAAAAACGAAAAATCAGAAAAATAAAACAATAAAAAATAAAAAGAAACTGGAGAAGACTAAAAACCGAGAAAACCATGAAGAACAGTTGTGCTTTTTAACCTTTTCGTTTCTAGCACAGTTGTGCTTTTTATATCATAAGAATAGTGTAACTAGCTATGAT